TGCTCCTAGTGGTACTTGTCCCAGATTGTAAATTTTAGAATTGTATTTTACATTGTTAACTGTCAAGATGTCAGTGACAATAATCCATTAAATCAAGTCTTCCAACATGTACCATAGCCTTATTATTGTATTATATTAACAATCCATGATGCCTTAATGTTTATCATTTTGCAAGTTTAATGGCTTCCAGCAACTCATTTGTCTTTTTAAAAAGTGTACATCTTCTGAGCTTCATTTTGAAGTAATTTTTATTATCTCAATAAATATACAAAATAAAAAATTCCAACCATAGAGGCCTTTTTATAAAAAAATCTAAAATGTAAATTATTTTATTTGCTGATATGCAAATTTCTTGTGAAATGTGCCTTAAATGCCTTTGTTTAAATATTTTCCAGCTCAAGTCATTTTAAATTAAATATGGTTGTTTTGATGGAAAGAAAAATGTCATTTGATTCCTCTTGGTATAAGTTGCTATCATGTGCTTGAGAATGAACTAATACTAGACCACATTAATAAATGTATCACTATAATTATGGAATGTAAAGTACAGTATTTATGCCTCCTTTTGCAAAGCTTGAAAAAACATATCAATTTGATCACTCTTATTAGTTCAAAAACATTTAAGCAAAACAAGTAAGTACCGATATAACAATGACAAAATGCATTGAAGCAAAATATACATTTGATTTAGCTTTTTTTATGGAGCTTTAACATTTTGTTAAGAAAAAAAAAAGAATTTTGTTTCTTGCTCATTATGTACATTTCTCTTTTCTCCCTTAACAATTTTCTATGTTGACCTGCAATAGACTTGTTTAGCGCATATTTCATACTTGCATTTCAATTTGTCCATAGATTGTCTAAGTCATTTTTTTAAGGTGCTGGCATTATTACTATTTAAAGTGTTTAATCTTTACTAAAAGCAAAAAAAGTTGTTTAATAAAACTTGCTATTGTACAATGCATGAATCTTACATTATCTGGGTGGCCATTAAATTATCTATGGATCAATACAACTTTGGGGTTTTGACTGTTACAATATAACTCTTGTGTGTATTTTCTATCAGTCTTTTCCAATTTGACCTGCTTCCATAAATGTTGTCTATTTATGATTCACCTATCATTTAATATGCTGAATCAGCCCCTTTTTTTAACGCTATATTAAATCATTCCAGACTAACTTTCTGTTAGTTTATAATTTAAAGCAAGATTGACCAGAGAATTTGAGGCATTAAGCTGCTGCAATATTATTCATTATAAAAAATATTTTTTTAAAATTAGGATTTATTTTAAACTTAATTTGAGAAAAAAATATTTTTGTGGAATATCAATTCTCTTTAATATTTCTTAAATATTTAACAGCCGAAGAATTAGAAAACCGGTACATTTTAAAATTAAAGTAACGCTATTGTTTTTCTAAGGGGATTTAAAATAATAAATTTAAACACTGCTGAAGGAAAAAGAATTAATAAAAATTAAGTTGAAGTAAAGAAAAGCCCTCTGTGTGGGAAATAACAGTTTGACATAGCTGTACCAATGAAATGTTCAAAGAGATTTGACCCTATTTGTTTGGTTCATTTTGAGATGACCAGAATTTTGTCTAATTCCGTTTTTTTTTTTTTTATGGTTGTGACCTTTGTAAAAGATTCAATTTTTTTAAATGAGGGAAAAGTTCTGTCTACAGATTTTAGAACAAAATGTCTGCACAGGATGTTATGTTCACAATCGAGAGGCTTACTTATCCCCCTTTTTTTTAAAGTGCTAATTGATATTATGTGATTTTTTTGGTTAAAATACTGTATTGGTAAAGGTCAATAGTCAATCATTTTAGAAATTAATTTAATTTATAGGGTGTTAGTACAATCAGTACTTTCCAATCAGTACTTTCCAATCAGTACTTTCCAATCAGTACTTTCCAATCAGTACTTTCCAATCAGTACTTTCCTGTTGTTTTCATGCTTACATGTTGTTGTTTTTTAATGTTCCTAATGAAGGGTGCAACTGGAACTAGGGCACCAAGTACAATTTTATTGGGATTTATATTATTAATCGTCTTTGTGCATTTTCTCCTAAATTATTTGGTTTATTGCAACAGATTCTGGCTTCATTTTATTAAGGAAATAAAATAAAAAGTCATCTGACTAAACATGGCCTTGACCTTTTTGTCTTGCAGCTTCTTTTCTAATTTGTTTAAAATAAACCATTTAAAATGTGGTACCGGTAGTTGAACAGAAAGCATTATGGGACATCTGCGATAATGCATGCAATATTTTGAACAAACCTAGTTGGAAAAAAGTTAATGATTAATGTAACAAATTTAATGGGACTTAAAAGTTGTAGTCAAATACTTCTTTAATTTAGCATAGCGTATATTTAAGCTTGACATAATTATTATGGACCAGTTCGGGGAACCTGATCAATAATGGCTCTGAATTTGTATTGGAATTAATTACCGTGTTTAGGTGAAGGTGTGTGGAAGAATTTATATTTACGAGATAAAACAACGTTAATGTAGGCCTAATCAAATGGATTCAACCTTTTGTACACAAAAATAAACTAATATCCCCTCCTCCACACATAGTTCTAGATCGGATGTTAAATGATTTGGTCGTCAATAATCTCATCCCCATTAAATGGATTCCCGTTTGACGGCTTGGGGGCACGCAGTGACACAGCTACTAGGGTTAGTACCGCCTTGGCGAGACACGATTTTTCCTCCTCACTTTACACGAAACAACAACAACAACTGCAGTTGGCCGACTGTGCCGCTCCTCCTGGTCCATATTAAATTTAAAAAAATGTGCCTCCCCTTCGGACCCCCTTCCTTCACCATTGGGTCAAAGCCCTAACCCTAAAGATAATAAATGTTGGGGGAGACGGTTGAGTTGAATATCGGAATGAACCAAAAAAGTGACATGAACAATTGAAAAAACAAAAGCACGAGCGTTCCGGATGAACAGCTTCTGCTAACAAAGGAGTAAGAAGAGTAAGAGTAAAAGGCCGCAAACAATGAAATATGCCGAAATCTGTATTAATATACCATGTGACCATTTCATAAATTAATAGGGTACCGGTACACATATTTAGTTCATGTAAGTGTAAGACGGGTTTTAAAAAAAATGTTGGAAATCATCACAATCACAACTTTAACTTATTTCTTTTTCTAGCTTTCAATGACATAATAGGTATGTAAAATATAAATAATAAGTCATATCATTGTTAATATTTGTAAACTCAATTTCTTTATTAGCTTACGCCCTACAAAAATTTGAATAAATATAAATGTGTAGAAAACGCCCCATCCCTGGGCTGAAAAAAAAAATTCAATCAAAACAAATGCAACTAACTAACAACAAAAATAAAAGTACAGAAATAAAACACAAAACCACATGCTTCGTTCACCAATACTTCCTTTTATTTTCATCCTCGCATGTGATTCGAAAATATAATTTGTAATTCGATAGGCTACTAAAATTAAAACTTAACTGGGGGAAGGACATTGACGTCACTTGGGTAGGGCGTGAGTAGGCACCCCCCCACCCCCCTGAATTGAAAGTTTTTTTTATTAAAATTGCTATACTATGTCAATTGCACTATGAAACCTCCAGTAAAATACAACTCAACAAGCCGGCAAAGTTTTGGTTTTGCCTCCCCCCGAAAAAACCTGAAATGACGTTCTTTGGGCAATTGCCCCCTCCACTTAGTCCAGCTTATACGCACTGGCGTAGGAAGGGCGGGTTCAGAGGGGGTGATCCTCCCCGGATGTCACTTTCCTCTATACAATGAGGGGCGGCATTTTCGGCCAATTGCAGAACGAAGTGGCTATTCGTACCCGGGTACCAGAAGTGAGAGTTTGGGATTAAAAAACTATTTAAAATTTTGTTGGGTATGTAAGACAAAATGAGTTATCAAATGAAAAGTAATTGAATGGAATATATGTTTGCAAACTTAATTCTTCAATTTAACTAAAATAAACTACCACAAATGACATCCGAATAGCACTGAGTCAAAATGGACCCAGACACGCCAGCGCCGCCATTCGCACCCGGGTACCATTAGAATCAAGCTATTCGGGTGTCATTTGTGGTCGTTAAACTGAAGAAGTAAGTTTACAGACATAATATATGTTTTAATAATTGTAAAGCGCTTAGAGCTTTATGATAAGCGCTATATAAAAATGCCTAAATAAATAAATAAATAAATATAGTTCATTCAATTATCTTTCATTTGATACCTCATTTTGACTAACAAACCCAACAATAATATTTTTAATAGTTTTTTTAATCCCAACCTCTCACTTCTGGTACCCAGTACGAATAGTCGCAGCCATTGCAGAATTTTTGTTCGTGGAGGGGGGGGGGGGGTGGGGGGGGGGGGGCAAAAATTTTGGGCCTCCCGGGGCCTCCCGGGTCTAACCGTATCTACGCCAGTACCCACCCGCCTTAATAACTCTTCTGGTACCCAGTACGAATAGTCGCAGCCATTGCAGAATTTTTGTTCGTGGAGGGGGGGGGGGGGTTGGGGGGCGGTGGCAAAAATCTTGGTCCTCCCTGGACCTCCCTGGTCTAACCGTATCTACGCCAGTACCCACACGCCTTAATAACTTAAGAGTGCATTTCAAAAGTGACACAAGAAAAAGGTTCCATGGGGATCTCCCGACAGTGCACCAATGACCAATGTTTGAGCTTTTCATCACATACAGTCACAGGTGTGTAGTTACACAATCATTTGACTTAAGAGTTTTGAAATGAAGACATTTAGAACCCTTTCCAACCCTGTTACTATACTGATACATTTAATATCACTTTTTAGATTGAGGAGATTTATGATTACATCGGTCACTCATAGGTGTTTACGGGCGCATACCTAAGTAACAAGCTACCTTGATTTTGTAGTACAAAAAATAAATATTAGATACATATTTTAAATAATTTTAAAAACGAATAGTCTATTTAACTTTTCAAAGTCACTCTTTTTTGTTATTTGATAATAAAATACTGCCATGCCACGTGATCTCAAATATGGCTGCAGAAGAAAACAAGCTTCAATTTATGTTTTGGTAGATTTTTATCGCTAGGTACCACAGAAGTATAAAATATAAATAAATGACAGAAGACTCCACTCGATTAAGGCAGGTAGGACTTAAAGAATTGCAGCTGCTCGGCTATATTATGCATTTTATTTTAAAGGCTTAGGCTTTATTCTGATAGACTACACTACGTTGCTGCAACCAAGTTACTAAGTACTGGCATATGAGTGAATGAAATGTGCAACGGTTTGGGAAACGATGCGGCTATCCTAACCGCTGCTAGAGGGTGCCAGGGCAGCCTTGACACTCTCGATTGATATCGAGTCCATGGCGGCATTGTCCAGTTGGTTCCAAGCAATTATTGTTCGTGGGAAGAATGATTGTTTATATTATTGAACTGTGTTAAACCGAGGCACAGTGAAGCATTTATCATTGTTCCGGATGTAACTGCTCATGGAGTTGTCAGAGGTGAAGTCAGTGTTTATTGAGTGTTTGGCTCTGATTAAGCTACCAGGCTTCTGCGGGGTTAGATTCTTGTTAGCTGGAACCTGCGGGATTAGATACGTAGTATTATTAGGAACGCCTAATTTATACTTATTATTTATTATATTATTATTGAATTAGCATATCAAAATATCTTAACAATTGTCAACTCAATATTGTCAATAATTCAAGTTAATATTATTAATTAATTAATATCAATTTAAATGCATTCTTTATTATTTAGATTCATTTATTTGAAAACTTTATTTTCATTGCCCCTTGCCTTAGCCTTAGGCTTAGGCTTATCGGTTATGAAAATGAATGTAAGTTTAGTTAGGCCTATCAATATGAATTTAATAATGACTGAATAATGATTATTTATCTTATTATCATTAAAGTCACTATCATTTACTAAATGATTTAGGCCTAGTAGTAGTAGACCTACTTATTAATATCAGGATAACCGGCATTACAGTTTAAATTTTACGATTACTTCTAACGTCTAACATAGAGCCTACTTAGATTAAGAATAAAGGACAACGGTTAAAGGAGCTAGGCCAAGACTGCAGAATGCATTTATTTTAAAAAAGGTATTTTCATTGACCTTAGCCTTAGGCTTATAAAAATTAATGTAATTTAGGCCTGAATATTATGATTGATTGATGATTATCATTAGTTTCTTTAATTTAGGCCTGTCTAAGCCTATCAGGATTACTGGCATTATTACAGTTTAAATTTTACTAAGTTTGATTACCTAACTTGTAGTAATGTACTTACACTACAATGGTTTTTTTTGTTAGTATATAATAGGAGGTGATTAGTATGTAACAGTAGGCCTGAATTTCTTAATTATTAATATCAGAGCTCTGCAACCTTTTTTCAAGCATAGTCCACCCTCAGCCTTTCCCAGAATGCCATGGCACATTTCAAAAGCAAATTATAAAAAATTAAAATAATGAAATGGATTTCAGAGTGCATACATGAGCCATCAGAACTCTTATGATAAATAGCAGAATGTATTTAAGATTCACAATGGATTGTAATACTAAAAAGTATCTAATTACGCTGTATTGTTCCATATTAACTTCCATATTCTAATAATTTCTGTCCCTTTTGTATTTACAGAATTTTATCACATTTATGTGCCTTTACCTTTTCTTCTTGTAGAAGCATTTTCACAACACATCTAGCATCATCTCCCTGCACACCTAGCATCATCTCGCGCCACACCCGTTGCGGAGCTCTGGTAAAAGCATCAAACAAATTATCTAATTTAGGCCTAAATGTAGTCTTCATATTTATTTATTAACTAGCCTCTTCATTGGATTCTAACTACACTATTATGACCCCAAAAAATGAATCTGTTTATCCCTATATACCAGCCTACTATTAAAATAATATTGAAATAAGATGTTAATTTGGGTTTCCTAGTGCTTAATTAGTTATTTTTTTATGTGCATGCACCAAATTTGAGCATTCTCTGTTTCTGACTTCTGTTGCCTTTTTTGGAAGGATGTTCACATCACTTTAAAGACTTATGAGCCAAGGTTCTCCCATTTTGCATGTTACTTTTGTCTTTAAATTAAATTGGCTTTTGTGAGACACAAAATATGTTTGTGTTGCAAAGCAAAAATTACCAATTATTTGGAATTAAATTTTAAATGAAAAATTTATGCCTTCAAATTTTGCTCCTATAAAAAGAAACATACTCCAGATTTCAGAACGAGTTGATTTGCCCTAAACCAGACATTGTATACTTTTATACTATATCAATCCCTCCCAAATTTTTCCCAAAGTATAATATCTAATACTCTTGTCTAAGAATGATCTTAATTTATAAAGCTGTTATGGCTGGATCTAATGAATAAAATTATTACTGAATTAATGAAATTAATATATATATATATATTCAGGACTTATTAAATTGGGTTTGAATATCACCCTCATTTTTTTCAGGCTGATGAGATTCAAGCATTATCATCAATTTATGGGGAAGACTGGTGTGTGCTTGATTCATCAACTCACAGATATGCAGTGCGTATTACAGATAGTGCAGAGACACCAAAATGGAAAGTCACCTTACAGGTTAATAGATTATTTTCCTATTTACTTCAATTTCACTGACTAAGACTGAGTAAGGTATAAAAAATGGGTAGTTTCTGCATTAGTTCCCTAACAAAAAATAAAAAATATTTTTCATTTCTTTCTTTATTCAAATTTGTGTGGCTTATGCATTCCCTGTTAAGTTTTTAAATAGCCATCACATTTTAAAATATGTCTTAAAATAAAGATGAGGTTTGACATGTAGTGGTCTGCCAAAACCCATAAATTATAGCACCATACTTTTTGTTGCTCTTTAACTTGTTTGAATCATTGTTTAAAGCCCTATGTTATAAATGCAGGTGCACATGCCAGAAGGATATCCTCAAAACTCTCCTCCAGAGTACCAAATAAGGTGAGCAGTTAAAACCACAAGGGAGAAATTTGTTAAGGTTTAAAGTACAATCCTCACTGTATTGTGGTAAGCTTTGATGTCCCTCTCATTTTATTTTTAAACATTTTTAAAATCTTTTACGTTTCTTATTAATCTCATACCCAAATCCTTTGATTTTATGAGACGCCTCTGTAATTCAACAGGCCTACGATTTCCTGTCAGATAACAGTTAAGTTAGTTTCTCTTTGTTTTTCTTTTTTGCGGTCCAAGCCTTCTCATTGTCTTTCTTCAGGTTTCCCCCCCGCTGTTCATATTTCTTATCACAAAGAAATGTCATGACCTGAAATTAACAATTGAAAAAAATTTCTATTTTTAATATTTTTTTTTAAACTTTAGAACCCATGGAGTTTAAGCAGAATTGGTAGATGTGGAATAGAAGTTACCATTGCTTTTTTAAAAAATGTTGATCAACTACGGTTGGCTTAGATCAGCGGTTCTCAACCTGTGGGTCGCGATCCCTTTGTGGGTCGTACAACCCTTTCCCAGGGGTGGCCTAACACCATCTGAAAACACATATGCTCTACAGTTATGAAATATCAACGAAAATAATTTTGAGGCTGGGGGTCGCCGCAACATTAGGAACTGTATTAAAGGGTCGCGGCATTAGGAAGGTTGAGAACCACTGGCTTAGATCATTCAAGTGTATTGCTTATCATGATCAATCTGCAACAAACAAAAAAATGAGTTAAAAAACTGAAGAAAATAAAAGTAATGTTTATTTTCATGATTCCCTTTAAGTGAATGATAGAATATAATGTTCTCAGTCCCTTATTGGGTTCTATGAATTAGATCACTGCATTTAGTGAATATTTATTTACAATTTTCAGTGCGCCATGGCTGAGAGGGGAAGAACGCAACAGGCTAGAAGACGCTTTGGCTCAAGTTTACTGGTAAAGGAATCTTCTGCCATTTCTAAATTACATTAAGGCAACAGATCAATGGTCTTCCAAAATGTAACTGTGAATATGGTAATCATTTATGGGACAAGTTTCCATGGGAAGACTTAGCAAGGGCCCATTGGATGCTTAAATCTCCAGAATTGTTATTTTATAGTGCATTTCTTTAAGATTAGAAATTATGAATGCAGACACATTTGTGTTCATAAATAAATCAATTTTTGTGTTCATCACATTAGCATTAGAGGCCAGTCATTAGAACCAGGACTAGGAGATTATAAGAGGGCTAGTGTTTTAGAGGTAATTCTCTTTTTTTTCTCGTAGCTGTCTTTACATAAATATCTATATAAATTACAGTGACAACCTAGGAGAAGATATTGTGTATCTCTGGGTTGAAGCTGTCCGGGAATTCTTGCAACAGAAAACAGACCAAGGTATTTTTTTTAAAATCATGATATTTTCTTGTTTTAGGATTGCCTTTTGGAGTAAAAAAATAATTGTTTATTATTAGCCTAATGAACACATTTGATAAACTCTTACATCCACAGAGCACATTTCATGGACTCTAATATTCTTATATCCACAAGAAATTTAAGTGACATTTTCTATCCACATAGCATTTGGAGTAAAGTATTTTTATAATAATATATATCGTCATATGGTACTAACTGCAAAAGGTGGACTTGATGTATTGGAGAATTTCAAATAGCTGAAAATGTCATCATTTCTTTATCTAGTCATCTGAATATAATTGTTTATAACTCTAATTATTTTCTAACCGCACTTGCAATTCCTAAGTAGAAATTGTGTTCGTTCTGATTGGAGTAATGTAAAGGATCATGTAGTTATGAATGATTTAATAAATTAAAGTAAAAATTTTTTTATTCCTTTAAACTGCAAATCTGGTCTGTCGGCTTGGACTGCTGTAAAGGAACATGTAATAATGAATGATCTAAAAAATTTTAAACAAAGATTTTTTTTTCATTCCTTTAACCCGCATCTCTTTTTGCATAAATGGAACACTCTCTCCCCCATCAAGATGGTCATGTTGATGACAGAGCAGAAGTGAAGCCTGCTGTGGATTTGCAAGATGACCTTGATCCCACTGCTGAGGATCTGGAGACTTCTTTGTTTACATATAGTCGCACGCCAGCAAATTTAGGTAGGCAGCTGTTCTAATTAAATCCATTCCTTAGTGCATGAGAGAAATGTGTGTTGTCAAGTGTTTTTCTCATCTTTGCTGCAATAACTTTGGCATTGGAATTTGTTAAATGTGAATTTGTAAAACTGCAAACTTGGATGTCTCACATAATCAATGCCTTAAGCAAACCAAAATAGGGAGTCTAGGGGGAAACTGAGTTGCCCAATGAACCATGTACCCCACGGCTCATAATGAACCAAATACAACATGCCCTAAGATGAAAAAATGGGGGCATAATTGAAAGGTAAGTATGGGTGCCTCTTTTGAACAAAAATAATAAAGTGAGGTTGTGTGTGTGTCTAAATGTTTCTTTCTTTCATGATAAGTTTCAGAAAGTTTAATTATGTATAGTTTAACTCTTCAGTTTTTTATTGTTTTGGCTCTGGAACTAATCAAATCGTTTCCCTTTGAGAAACTATCTCAAGCATAACAGATCTGATCAGGGAAGGGATTAGGTTTGTTATGTAGGGCACCACTGCATATTTTGAACTCTTTAAAGCTCAATTAATCTACATACACTGCATATTTGTTTACATTTGATACTATTGTCATTGACCTTTTTCTCTGTATTATAAACAATTAAAAGGGGAGCATTCTTTGTGAGTGATCTTCGCCGAAGACAGGAAAACATTCATTTTTTTTATTTTAAATACGACAAGAGATTTTAGTAGAATAAACAATGTCCAAACTGAGTGTGTTTAGTTTTAGACATTTTGAGCTCAGCAGAATTTTTAATTTTAAAAAGTTCAGACACTTTTTTCCTTTCAACACAGTTGAATGCCCAGACATTATTCACGGAGAAACCATCCTGGACAGGAAGAGCACCTTTCAGCCACACTTGGCCATCGTCAGGGACAAAGATCAGGTGTGTCAGCTCTGCCTTTAAGTACCTCGCAGTTTTGTCCTGTAGTTCATTAGCTTCTGTGATGTTGACCGACACTGATGTCATTGTTTATTTGAATGTCACTTGATTTATCATCAAGCCTCCTTCCTGCATCCACACGTCATGAACTGTAAAAGATATTCTCTTGTGTCAGGTTTCAGCGGTGATGAATAAACTGATGGAGAACAAGAAGATCGCCAATGCCACTCACAACATGTTGGCCTACAGAATCATCGGGGACTCTGGTGTAGTTTATCAGGGTTGTCATGACGATGGTGAGACCCATGCAGGCTCGAGGATGCTTCACTTATTGCAGGTGAATAATGTTTAACATCTTCTTCTTCTTATATTTGAGGGGCCCACGATCAATTTGTTGATCATTCTGGCTCCTGGTTTAAATTCAGAGTTTGCCTTCTCTTAGATGGGTTGCCGTCCAAGGCTAATGAGTCCCATCCACCCGGGTTGCTTGGGGTGTTGGCTTTGGTGGAGATTGAACTCCAGACCACCAGCTATTTGGTTTGAGACATGATTTTTTTAAATCGAATTTGTTATTTCCAGATAAGGGTTAATATAATGAGATATTAGTACTAACAGTAGAGTCTCCATGGGAGAGGCTGGTAGTAGTACTAATAGTAGAGTCTCCTGGAAGAGGCTGGTCGTAGTACTAATAGTAGAGTCTCCATGGAGAGGCTGGTTTGTGATTGCCATTCTATTTCATGTTTGTGTTCAAAAAATGTCATCGTAATATGTCAACAGTGCCTGATAATCTAAACACCCTTTTTTTTAAATTCTGAATTTTTGCATGTTTAACTTTGAGTCCTGTTCTATAAATTGCAACTTTTGAGTCCTGTTTTATAAATTGTAAATGTTATGTCCTGTCTATAAATTGTAACTTTTGAGTCCTGTCTATAAATTGTAACTTTTGAGTCCTGTTCTATAAATTGTAACTTTTGAGTCCTGTTTTATAAATTGTAAATGTTATGTCCTGTCTATAAATTGTAAATTTTGAGTCCTGTCTATAAATTGTAACTTTTGAGTCATGTTCTATAAATTGTAACTTTTGAGTCCTGTTTTATAAATTGTAACTTTTGAGTCCTGTTTTATAAATTGTAACTTTTGAGTCCTGTTTTATAAATTGTAACTTTTGAGTCCTGTTTTATAAATTGTAACTTTTGAGTCCTGTTTTATAAATTGTAACTTTTGAGTCCTGTTCTATAAATTGTAACTTTTGAGTCCTGTTTTATAAATTGTAAATGTTATGTCCTGTCTATAAATTGTAACTTTTGAGTCCTGTTCTATAAATTGTAACTTTTGAGTCCTGTTCTATAAATTGTAACTTTTGAGTCCTGTTTTATAAATTGTAAATGTTATGTCCTGTCTATAAATTGTAACTTTTGAGTCATGTTTTATAAATTGTAACTTTTGATTCATGTTCTATAAATTGTAACTTTTGAGTCCTGTTTTATAAATTGTAACTTTTGAGTCCTGTTTTATAAATTGTAAATGTTATGTCCTGTCTATAAATTGTAACTTTTGAGTCATGTTCTATAAATTGTAACTTTTGAGTCATGTTCTATAAATTGTAACTTTTGAGTCCTGTTTTATAAATTGTAACTTTTGAGTCCTGATGTATCAAATGTAACTATTAAGTCCTGTTTTATAATTGTAACTTTTGAGTCCTGATGTATCAAATGTAACTATTAAGTCCTGTTTTATAATTGTAACTTTTGAGTCCTGATGTATCAAATGTAACTATTAAGTCCTGTTTTATAATTGTAACTTTTGAGTCCTGATGTATCAAATGTAACTATTAAGTCCTGTTTTATAAATTGTAACTCACTTAATGCTTAAATATGATTGTGTTTATGTAATTTGTACTTTTGCACATAAAATGGATTATGGCTTTCATGTGTAGAACATACATAAATGGAGAATTCACTATATTCATTTAACTTTAAAAAAATGAGGCCCCCACCCCCCCCCCCACACACACACTTAAAAATGATAATGACAGCCCCCCCCCTTCCCCTCACATACACACACTTTTCCCCTCCAAAACTATCTATTCAAAGCTGGGGATGAACCTGGGTCAGTTCGAACCTCCTTACCTTTTGAATGAGACAGACAAATCCGTCATCGTACCACAAAGCCGAACCTCTATTTATCTACCTTGCTAAGAATAGCAGTTGGTTTCCTGTTTTCTTTAATCTTTTCTATTGTATTTTATATTGAATCACAAACCCATGTTGTTGTTGTTGTTTTTTTTTCCACCAAGTAAAATTTAAATGCCTTAATTTATTTATTATGGGGGGATCTGCAATGGTTCAATTGTGGCCATCAATCTTGATGAGCGGGGTGGGTGGGGGGGGGGCTGGTGGCCATCAATCTTGTCGGGCATATGTTGTAATGAAGCTCAATTCTCCACAGATAATGAAGGTAGAGAATGTTCTTGTGGTGGTCTCCAGGTGGTATGGTGGCATACAGCTGGGACCTGATAGGTTTAAACACATCAATAATTGCTGCCGCCAAATTCTGGAGGCAAACGGATTTCTCTCAGAGAAGGTAATTAATATGTGCAATTTTGATTTTGAACAGTTGCAAATATTGTCTAGTTGTAATACTGACAATTTGTAATAGTTTTAATATCGACTAGTTGCAATATTGACTAGTTGTTATAATGAGAAGTTGTAATATCAACTAGTTTTAATATTGAATAATTGTAATAGCAACTAGTTTTAATCTATTCATTTGCAACCTCTACTGCCTTGAGGTCTACAGAGCTCATTAAACCAGCCCTGCATAACATACTACTGATGTGAGGTCACTTAGTTGAGCACAGGGGCATAACCCCCCCTTTTTTTTTAAAGAAAAATAAAGATAATATAATACACGAACAGTCATGTCATGGTTTATTAAATCTTTATTAAGTATGAAAAATAAAAAAGCATGACATTTAATCATCCTGCTGAAAGATACGGTTATCTAGAGAATAACCCATAAATGATTACATCTGAAGTTGACTTTCAGTGATTGCTTTTCGTACATGATCACAAGTGCACACGGCATTACGGTGAGCACCATCACCTGTGGTTGTGCAACTTCCAGTGGAAAAACTTAATATTTGTGATGAACAAATGCCAAAAGTTTATTAAAATTAAAAATAAATTGTTGAAAAAATAGATTACAATTGTTAAGAGATGGAAGCTTAGAATATTTAAGATTTCAGCCAAATGAAAATTTGGTTTGTGTAAAATTTCAGCAAAAGTAAAGTTTGGGTTGTGTAAAATTTCAGCAAAAGTAAAGTTTGGGTTGTGTAAAATTTCAGCAAAAGTAAAGATTGCATAGTGTAAAATTCAGCAAAAGTAAAGTTTCGGTTGTGTAAAATTTCAGCAAAATGAAAGCTTAGGTTTTGTAAGATTTCAGCAAAATGAAGAAAGTTGGGTTGCATAAGATTTCAGCAAAATTCATTGATGTCATGTGGTGAGAGATGTTTTGCTAAACAAAATGGAAAAGCTTAATGGCAAACCAAGGAAAGTCTGTAAGGAGAGTTAGATCACTTGATATCACTTGTTCAAACTTCTCTCAGTTCATCTAAATAAACAAAAATATAATAGACTGGCAACGCAGTGTCAGAGAAATTGGCTTAAATGTTGTTTTTTTAAAATAATTTCTGTTGTTTTTTCCAGGAAGGAAAGAAAGTGCAGAAGAGCAGCAAATCCAGATGACCAGGAGTTTCCTCTATTAGACCATGTCAATGATTTTCCTCTATTAGACCATGTCAATGAGTTTCCTCTATTAGACCATGTCAATGTTTTAGTTAAATGTCAATTACATTCTTTTATGAGACTTTAGGTTTTGTTAACAACATGCGTTAACATACGTTAAATTTAAACTAGCTTTTTAAAAGGCTGGTTTTAGAAAAGCATTTTTTTTTTAAAAATGAAAATTGCATTAATGGTATTAACATTGATGAATGTTTAATTGGCACTGACCGCTCTCTACCTGGAGATGGACGAAATGGTGTTACATAAATGCTTATGATTGCATGTGATTTTATATAACTAGATATTGTAATGTGTAATGCATCAGTTTCAATGGGTGCACATCACTGCCTTTGGAGACATGCTTATTGTTGGTGTCAGTGTTCAAACTTGTCATTGGCTCCAGAGGGTGTTTGGTTAAAAAAAATTGTTGTTACCTGGTAGCTGTCAAAGGTTGTCGATAAACTTTAGGTTAGCTCTCAAAGGTTGTTGGTCAAGTTTTTCATTAGCTCTTAAAGGTTGTTTATAAACCTTTTTCCTTGGCTCCAGAAGGTGGTTGGTTAACCTTTTTTTTAATATTTCCATTAGGTTATTGGTAAACATTTTCCTTAGCTCTCAAAAGTTATTGGTAAACATTTTCTGATTTTGAAAAATTCGGTATTCAATTTCTTTTTTAGTAACAAGAATAATGAAAGTACAAGAGGTAAATCAATAAGTAAAGGTTTTAATGCGATACTCCAGTCCAACAGATAAACCGTGTTCATGGTTCTTAAACATTATCTAAGCGCCTTCAGATCCTGTAGTCTACCTTTCCCAAAATGGTGGTACGCAGACTGGCACTGTCTGCACAACATGAATATTTATGGTTGAGTATAAATTATAAATGGAAAATCTGGCGCTGGTCCCTGGGGCACTTTCAAAACTTGTCCCAGGTCTGCCACACATGGAAAGCGCTGTTACTAGCAACATTGGCCTGGAGTCTATTGTGCATTATGAAGAAAAGTTATTCTTACATACTGCGTACATATTCCAAAAAATAGATCATGAATTTCACTTTATTCAAGGAATGTATTTTACTCCCCACCAAAGAAGTGTGGCATTATTTTGTTTGTATAAGGTCTAAAGATATGAGTTTTGTTTGAAAATTTGTACACTTAAGGACTGGTTTTAAATTTAAGAAATAAAAACCTTTATATACTTATTATTGTGTGTATTAATAAATTTTTTAAAATAATTTTTTCTTAGTATAAAATTTTGATAGTTAGCAACTGACTCATGTAACACTCACACACACACATTCCTACATTTCTTGCCATGGCAACATTCCCTCCTCCACTCCATGATCAGAGCCTACCATGTGATGTCTTGATCAGAGTCTACCATGTGATGTCTTGATCAGAGCCTACCTTGTGATGTCATGATCAGAGCCTACCATGTGATGTCATGATCAGAGCCTACCATGTGATGTCATGATCAGAGCCTACCATGTGATGTCTTGATCAGAGCCTACCAGCACCATGTGATGTCATGATCAGAGTCTACCATGTGATGTCTTGATCAGAGCCTACCAGCACCATGTGATGTCATGATCAGAGCCTACCATGTGATGTCTTGATCAGAGCCTACCATGTGATGTCATGATCAGAGCCTACCATGGGACGTCTTGATCAGAGCCTACCACTTGATGTCATGATCAGAGCCTACCATGTAATGTCTTGATCAGAGCCTACCATATGATGTCATGATCAGAGCCTACCATGTGACATCATGATCAGAGCCTACCATGTGATGTCATGATCAGAGCCTACCACGTGATGTGATGATCAGAGCCTACCATGTGATGTCATGATCAGAGCCTACCACGTGATGTCATGATCAGAGCCTACCATGTGATGTCATGAATAGAGCCTACAATGTGATGTCATGATCAGAGCCTACCACGTGATGTCATGATCAGAGCCTACCATGTGACGTCATGATCAGAGCCTACCATGTGATGTCATGATCAGAGCCTACAATGTGATGTCATGATCAGAGCGTACCATGTGATGTCATGATCAGAGCCTACCATGTGATGTCATGATCAGAGCCTACCATGTGACGTCATGATCAGAGCCTACCATGTGATGTCATGATCAGAGCCTACCACGTGATGTGATGATCAGAGCCTACCATGTGATGTCATGATCAGAGGATCCCACGTGATGTCATGATCAGAGCCTACCATGTGATGTCATGATCAGAGCCTACAATGTGATGTCATGATCAGAGCCTACCACGTGATGTCATGATCAGAGCCTACCATGTGACATCATGATCAGAGCCTACCATGTGATGTCATGATCAGAGCCTACAATGTGATGTCATGATCAGAGCGTACCATGTGATGTCATGATCAGAGCGTACCATGTGATGTCATGATCAGAGTCTACCATGTGATGTCATGATCAGAGCCTACCATGTGATGTTTTGATCAGAGCCTACCATGTGACGTCATGATCAGAGCCTACCATGTGATGTCATGATCAGAGCCTACCACGTGATGTGATGATCAGAGCCTACCATGTGATGTCATGATCAGAGCCTACAATGTGATGTCATGATCAGAGCGTACCATGTGATGTCATGATCAGAGTCTACCATGTGATGTCATGATCAGAGTCTACCACGTGATGTGATGATCAGAGCCTACCATGTGATGTCTTGATCAGAGCCTACCACGTGATGTCATGATCAGAGCCTACCATGTGATGTCATGATCAGAGCCTACCATGTGACGTCATGATCAGAGCCTACCACGTGATGTCATGATCAGAGCCTACCATGTGATGTCATGATCAGAGCCTACCATGTGACGTCATGATCAGAGCCTACCACGTGATGTGATGATCAGAGCCTACCACGTGATGTCATGATCAGAGCCTACCATGTGACGTCATGATCAGAGCCTACTATGTGACAAGCAGCAAAAACAGTTCATGGACTGGTGGGTAAGACATTCGAGAGAAAGAATGATCCCAAATGTTGATGAAGATGCCAACTGTTTACCGTTTGAACTTTGGCAACTTGTGAGACTGTGTTTTCTTATTTCACCAAATGTGAAGATTATTGACCAAGTACAATGTAAACAAATGGTAGGACGGTAGCTGGAAGTGCGGTAACGAAGTCATAAAAAGAATTTTGAAATGGGATTGCGTGGAGACGGATTTGATCTGTTGCAACAGTCCATCCGTGGAGACGGATTTGAACTGTTACACCACCTATCTGTATAACATGAACATGTATGGTCTGTCGTGGTAGTTCATCCATGTAGAGGTCTTGCTCAATAATCCGTCACAGTAGTTCATCCATCCATTGAGAACACTTCAATAACCTGTCACAGTAGTTCATCCATGGAGAGGGCTTGTTCAGTAATCTGTCAATGTTACACTATGGGGTTGCTTACAAACTTATGCCAAATGATTACCATGGGGCACGCCACAACCGGGGGGAATTCAGTTTATGTATGTCACTGAGCACCATAATGCCTCCCACAAAACCTGAAAAATGTCCTTCCCCTTTCAAACGTTGAATAGAAACTTTGAATTCATGTATACTCAAAAATGCACATCTTGATTTTGAAATAATTGTAAAAAAAAAAAAAAATTGACAATCACTTCATCAAAACCAACATTCTTCACCTTATTACTTTCGATGGACAAAATCGCAAGACCAGACAGAAAGTCTAGACTCCTGGATTGTTCCATGGTAGATCGCAACTAGTTTTTTTTTTGTTGTATCTAGAACAGCTCCTCTAACATGAAGTCACAGACAGAAAGATCGTAAGAAATAATTAATTGTAGGCTTAATGAGAGGATTGAGAGAGATCAGAGG